AAAGGAGAAAAAGGTATGCTTTATGAACCGTACCTATAACTACTAGCCTTATTTTCCGTAGGTATTAATTACGTACTAAGCCCTAGTACTAGCCAGGGCCTTATAATAAGTATAGCTTAATATATAAGGTCCCTTTCCGAAAAAAAAAAGATACGCCCTGCCGTCTTTTTCTTTAGCGTTTAGCCTTAATAACCTAATCCGTTTTCTTCCGCGCCTTAGGGTACGTACCGCATCCTTAGGTGCTACTTCCGTTCCCCGGGGTGCGTTATTCGCTCCCCGGGTTGCTACCTCTGCCTCTTAGGGTATTAATATATCCCTAGGCCTCCTTCTGTTCGTTTCTCGGGGTATTAATGCCCCCCGGGTATAGCTTCCTTTCGTTCGTTCCCCGGGGTATTAATGCCCCCCGGGTATAGCTTTCTTTTTTTCGTTCCCGGCGGTTATATTATACCCCGAGGTCTCCTCCTTTTCCTCCGTAGGTTTCCCGGGTTTCTTCACCTATTATAGTAGTGCGGTGGATCTAGGCCACGTAGCCTTTTCGATGTCTATTTATATGAGTCGCGCACTCATATTTTCATTAGTTAGACTTAGACCTATAGATATCACAGCCTACAGCTATTCACTCGTTTCTTGCCATGCCTTTCTAGCCATCCTCGATTGCCCTTTCCTTTTTCTAGTCCCCTTTCCCAGCTGCCGTTTTAGCTGGCCGATCAACCGATTACAGCTGTTTATAGCTGTAATCTTGGTTGATCGGCACTGGGCCAGTTGTTGGCAGTTGGGCAGTCCTTTTCGTGCCTCCGTCAGCGTGCCCACGCTGCTCCTGTTCAGTACGAAGTCGTATATAGGCGCTTACTAGGTCTAGCCTAGCTTCTGTAGCTACGGAGTCGTCGGTTCGTTTACCGCTGTTTAAAGACCTTCGTTTATCTTTCGTTAATGAATCCCGTCGGATTCGCTAAAGGACGTATTAGAATACGCCGTCCGACTCGTTTAAAGACTATCGTTTATCTTCCGCTAGTAGAGCTAAGGGCTCCGCCTAAAAGCGTATTAAGGCTCGCCTTTTCGTTTATTACTAAGAGGCCTGGAACCTTTCCTACTGAACAGGAGCAGCGTGGGCACGCTAACGGAGGCACGAAACAAGGACTGCCTAACTGCCAACAACTGGCCCAGTGCCGATCAACCAAGATCACAGCTATAAACAGCTATAATCGGTTAATCGGCCAACTAAAACGGCAGCTGGAAAAGGGGACTAGAAAAAGGAAAGGGCAATCGAAGATAGCTAGAAAGGCATGGCAAGAAACGAGTAAATAGCTATAGGCTGTAATATCTATAGGTCTAAGTCTAACTAATGAAAATATAAGTACGCGACTCATATAAATAGACATCGAAAAGGCTACGTAGCCTAGATCCACCGCACCACTACACTACCGTTTAGAAGCTAAGAGCTTATCCTTTCGTTCGCTAGCGAAGTCCTTTAGGCTCCGCTTAAGAGCGTACTAAGGCGCGCCTTTCCGTTTATTACTAAGAGGCCTAGGGCCTCTCCGTAAACCGCTAGCGCCTCTAGCGCCTTTATCGATACTATTAAGAGGCCGGTAGCCTCTTCTCGTAAACTGCTAATACCTTAGGTATCCTTATCGAAGTGTTATTATCCTAACTTAACTTATCATTTCGTCATTATTTTAACGCCGTTTCTTTTTATATATTACGCCTCGGGCGCTCTTAACTTTACTAAGCGTTATGCTCTAGCGCTCTATTATCTTTCTCCGGGAAAAAAAACTTTTCGCCTTTTTTAGCTACTTATTTCGTCGATTATGAATATTTCTGAACGTCTTTATATCGTATATTTCTCGAAATTACTATTTAAATCTACGTTTTCTCTAGTTATCGATCGTTTTTTGGTTATCTTTTATCAGTCCTCTCTCGTAGGTACTACCGGCGCGTATATCTAAAAGCTAATACCGCCTTTCCGATTACTAACTTTACCGTATAGCATCGCCTTTACTACTATTAATCCTGCGTATTAAAATACTAATTTATTATTATTGTTAGTTTTTTTCGTAGTAAATAGGAGTAGCGTGGGCACGCTAACGGAGGCACGAAAACTGCCCAACTACCAACAACTAGCCTAATGCTGATTAACGTAGATCACAGCTATAAATAGCTATAATTGGTTAATCGGCCAGCTAAAACGGCAGCTGGGAAAGGGAAACTAGAATGGCAGAGCAACGAGGATAGCTAGAAAGGCATAGCAAGAAACGAGTAAATGACTATAACTAGTAATGGCTATAGGTTTAAGTTTAATTAATGAAAATATAAGTATGTAATCTATATAAATAGACATTGAAAAGGCTACGTAGCCTAGATTCACCGTACTACTATAGTAGTTTTTATACGAGCCTTTATCATAGCGTGCCCACGCTGCTCCTATTCTATACATAGGCTTTATATATAATATAATTATAAAAATACTCTTATTAATATAATTATATTATCTTAAATAGTTACTTATATACTATAGTGGTGCGGTGGATCTAGGCTACGTAGCCTTTTCGATGTATATTTATATGGGTCGCGTACTTATATTTTCATTAGCTAGACTTAGACCTGTAGACATTATAGCCTATAGTTATTTATTCGTTTCTTGCTATGCCTTTCTAGCTATCCTCCTCGTTACCTTTCTAGCCTCCTTTTCCTAGCTGCCGTTTTTAGCTAGCCGATTAACCGATTACAGCTATTTATAGCTGTGATTTTGGTTGATCGGTACTGGGCTAGTTGTTGGTAGTTAGGTAGCCCTTTTCGTGCCTTCATTATAGCGTGCCTACGCTGCTCCTGTTTAGTAGCGACTACCTAGTAGCTCGAACCTTACTTTATCTTAGGAGTAACCTTTTGCGACCGTTTTTGTAGTCATTAGGTTTAGGATTCGTCGATTAGGAGATTCCCTGTTTTTTAGTTGATTAGGAGCTGTTTTCGTAGCTCTAGAGCCGTTTTTTTTCGTGGCTTTCGGATTGAGCCTTTTTAGGCTATAGCCTGAATTTTCAGGTGGCTGGATTAATAGGAAGGGTAGATAACCATGGCGACCATTTTAATAACTACGTCCTTTCATTAGCTTTTGATTAGCTTACCTGAAAGCTCGTTCGCCGATTAGTGGATCTATCCTATCCTCGTTTCTTAGTTATCTCTTTTGAAGGAGCTGTACCCGTTTTTGTCTGGTTTTGCCCCCGTTTTTAATAGTGCCTAAATGGCAGTTTTTCGCCCTTAGTTAATCTAACTAAGTTACCGCTACTACCCCTTTTTATAACCTCGCACGCGCTTGAAGGTATTCGTTCTTTACCGATTAGTTTATTTCGATTGCAAGAGGCTTACCGATAGCTCCGATCGCCTTTGTTTTATTCCTGCTAGCTAGTTACGGTACCTAGGGAGGTTTCTCCTTCCTAACCGATAAGGTACTACGATGCCTTTAATTACCATACGAAGATACCGATAGACCTTATACCTACGAACCTGATCGGGGAACCTACCGATTAACGCGATAGACCTATAAACGATACCGCGATATACGAATTAAATAAAATATTAAATAAGATAGCCTAGAAAATTAAGAATAGCTATAGGAATAGTAATGCCTAGAGACCCCTCTTATCGCCCTTACCAATATGTAGTTGGTAGGAAGAGCCTAGAGAGCCCTTAGAACTACGTATAGGGGAGGGATCGAGGGTCAAGGGAAGCCCGGTAGATGTTACCGGACGAATAATAGTTAGATACGAGTTAGAAACGGAAATAATCGGGTATGAATAGGATATATTAATTAGTTTATAGGATTAGGATTAGTTAAAAAGGATCGGCAAAAGATAGTTATAGACGAGAAGGACGGAGATTACGATTACATTAGTTATTTTACGGGATTATTATTTCGTTTCTTACGGGAGCTACGCTTGTTTTACCTGCCCGTTGTAGTTCCTGTTTCCTGACTATTGATCCCTGTTATTTCTTGATGGCCTTTGATAGACCTGGCTCGCTCCTAGTTAATCAGGGTTAATTAGGAATAGGTCGATTAGGTTAGTTTATAGGTTATAGCTCCGTTAGCCTAGTTCTTATTATTAGATCTTTCCTATTTCCTATTAATCGTTAATTAAACTGGCTTAGCTCCTAGTTGGCAGCGATTAAATAGGTTCGGGATTAATCAGGTTTAGGTTTAGGATCAGGTACGGTTATAGTCACCTACCCTATTACCTACTTATTGCTATTACAATCGCTCCTAGTTAATAACCTATTTCTTCCTAACTTATCCTGTTAGCCTTTAATTAAATTAGCTAGCTTTTAGTTAATTAGGGTTAATCGGGATTAGGTTAATTAGGATTAATAGGAAACGAGAGCTACCGTACCTATTATTATTAGGGAGTTTAATTACTCTTTACGGATTAATTAAACTAAGGAGGCTATAGTAGTACGGTGGATCTAGGCTACGTAGCCTTTTCGATATATATTTATATGGGTCGCGTACTTATATTTTCATTAGCTAGACTTAGACCTATAGACATTATAGCCTATAGCCATTTACTCGTTTCTTACCATGCCTTTCTAGCTATCCTCCTCGTTACCTTTCCAGCCCCCTTTTCCTAGCTGCCGTTTTTAGCTGGCCGATTAACCGATTACAGCTGTTTATAGCTGTAATCTTGGTTGATCGGTACTAGGCTAGTTATTAGTAGTTGGGTAGCCCTTTTCGTGCCTCCATTACAGCGTGCCTACGCTGCTCCTGTTCAATACTAAAGTCGAACATTTATATACTAAATTTATTTCACTTTAGAATATTATATTAAATTAAGAAAATCAATTTATTAGGAATTTATAAAAACTTATAAGCATTAGGTTTAGTTTTTTTTCTCGTAGTGAAATGCACCGTAGTACTTGACCCGCTAGATAACCTACATAATATTATTAGGTACTAGTTCATTTTAGTATAACATCCTGATGGGTCTTCTGCATATAGCAATTTGTACACTGCATACGAGCGATTCCAATTATCCTCAACTTCGTTCACTTCTATGCCCACCTCTCACCTATCAGAGTTCTTTACTATCTATATGAGAGACAATTCTGAATACCCTATTGTGCGTCGATATCCTTCTTTTTGGCTTTCCCTTTCTCCTCTATCGTCTTTCGTCCTAATCCTAATTTTTAAACCCCCGGACCCAATCCTCTCCTTCGACCGCAATTCCATTTATTTGACCTGATACCCCTAGTCTCTCTCCCTCTTCTGTCTCATTATCTCTCTTCAAACCTCTTTTGGATCGTAGCAAACAAACCCGAGGTCCTGACCACCCCCCCTTCGATGTCGAACGCCAAAAACAACAAGACCCTTACTACCACTACCGACACCCTGATCCATACCACCCAGCCAAAGAACGATTTGCGACGACGGCCCCGAGTTCAGAATTAGAAAAAAAAAGCAGAAACAACTCCCCACGATACGGCCACTCAGGTAGTCAACCTACGAGACCCCTAACCTTATCCGCGACCAACTGCTACCCGGGTCCTAAGCTAATACCCGTTCTTTTGAAGCAATTTGGACCCTCCGTATTCCGCTTGCCATCGTCCGCACACTGCTGCGGGAAAAGCTAAGCCTGGACAGACTAGACGCGCCCCTGATTGCCCCCTAATGCGATTGACCAAGTAGCCACGGCGCGACCGACCGCACCAATGCCCTGGCAACCGCTGCCTCGTATCGCCTTCGCTGTCGCGACCTACCCCTTCGAGACTACGCTCGAGAATGAATTACCCTTGGAGATTGGCGACGACCTATACATCATCGAAGAGACATCTGACGGCAAATGGCTGCGGGGATATTTGTTGGCCCCCCCCTCCTTGTTGGCCGGCCTAACCTCCGTCAAGGGCCAGACTCTTGAAGCTCGTGTCTTCTCCGGAATCTTCCCGCGAAGTTGTGTCGAAGTGCGCGAGGTGTTGGGAGACGGTGACGAAAATTCAGAAAATGGTAGTGGTTATCAAGCGGACGACGACCCCTTACACGTCGGGAGCGACTCCGGAAAGAGTGGCGTGGTCTCGATTGCGAGGAAATCGGCCCCCAAAGACCAACAGAATGGAAGCAGACATGATAGATCTAACAGTTCCGTGTTCGGTGGGGGCGCTGGTCATGGTACTGAGCTCAGAGTGCGTGAACCGGGCGCGTCCAAGCCAGCTGCGCCGGTTCCCATGCTCAGGCTGGGTGACGAGACGCCTACATCTACTATGGAGCCGTTGGTCGACGAAATCGCCTCCTGTTTGCGTGAATGGCATTCAACCAACTTCCATGAGCTTCTGTTGACCCGGCAGTATGCCAAACTCGACAAGGTCTCCCAATTGATCCAAACACTGGACCTCTCGAGGCGTCAATTCCTACACAACTTACTCACAACTCGTGAGTATACAATGCTCCGGGAGAAGACGGTCTGGGATTTGGTAAAAGGAAATAAATTGTGCGGGGGGGAAGTCATTGTGCGCGATCCTGGAGAGCGAGGCAGAATTCTTACCGGCGATGATTCCGTTGTAGAAATCACCAAACTCCAGTCCGTGATGAGTTTATTGGACGATCCCCCACAGCCACATGTTGAGTTATCGGCGTTGCACCACCTGATGGTCGATATTAAGAGCTTCGCTGGCTCTTCTAACGAGCCTACAACACTGGTATTATATCTCGTCAGCCGGTCGATTGGGGGGACCCTGACAACGCTCTCGGAAAGCTACATCATCGAAGTGCCTTCCGGTGGTACAATGGGCCACTTGACCCGGAATCCCCAGATGCGTACCCTCTTTACTGACCTTACTTCTGTTGACACTGGCGACGGGCCTTCCGCTGATTCGGAGCTTTACCTGATTGTGAAGGTGCGTTCTCCGCAACAGATCTTCGTGGGTAAGCCTGTCTCAAGGTCAGGGTCGTTCGGCTCGCCCAACACACCGTTCTCAAAAGACAAACCACCATCGTCTAGCGGCAACAAAACTTCCAGGAGAAGTTTGATGTGGGGGACGACCAGGTCTGCGTTTTCTAGAGGGGGAACCAAGCTTGATGCGTTGTCCGAACAACCTGAAGAGCGACCTGGAACAGGTGGTCTCGACAGCAGGGACGGAAGAAAGCCTCCTAGCACTGCCGGTTCTAGAGGACCACGACCGTCCGTGGATGCGCCACAGCCCACGCAAATGACAGTAGAAAGAATGGTGGGCATGGGTGTGCTCAGCTTGAACCCCATAATGAAACAAGACGAAGACGCAGAGCATGTGGTTACCGTCTGGTCGCCGTCTACGAAATTTTCCACTGAGAAATACGATAGTGCTGAAGGATGGGATGGCCTCGTCTGCGACCTTCTGGAGAGCAAGTCGGGACATTACGAGAAATCGAAAAGGGCTGAGCGGTTACAAATTCATCTAAAGTCCTTCAATAGCCCCGATGCAGACGCGCTCATCAAGTCGACTCCTACCCTCCTTGCAGGCATTAGCAAGACGAATAAGATGGGGTTTTCTGGTGCACCGACAAAGCCCAGGTCCGATATATACGTGACTATTACCGAAGCTCTCTTGGCACGTCAGAATCTACTCTCACGATTTGGAGCCAGCGCTACGGCTATATCTAGTAATGTTCACGGTGGAAATCTTACAGTCTCCGTGGAGGTCCGGCGCCAGTCGGGTGACCAGATTGAAGATTGCATATATCCCTCTTCGAACTCGGAGCCGCTGACCACCTGGCGGTCATTTGCTGTGGAGCGGGGTGAGCAATGGGGCCAGACAATACGGCTTTCACTTCTGCCTGCCGATGTTAGCACGTCCCACGTCGTGTTCACAGTCTCGGATCTTCCTAGTACCCCCTTCGCAATTACGTACATGCCGCTATGGGATCGTCAAGCATTCTTGGGCGACGGTTTGCATTCTCTGTCCCTCTATAAGCTCGACGAATTCACGCAGACTCCACAAGCCAGCCCCGGGGGTAGGGGCGGGTACCTAACCCTACCTTGGAGTGCCCGCACTGACTCTAGCGAGGTCACTGGCCCGCTTGCTACCCTTCGTGTTGAGACCTATCTTTGCAGTACAAGGTTTTCCCAAGACAGGATCATCCTCGGGTTGTTGAAATGGAAAGAGGGCCCCAGGGACGAAATCCCGTCGTTATTGAAACAACTTATATTTGTGCCCGAGATCGAGGTGGTGAAGCTTCTGAGCGATGTCTTGGATGCCCTTTTCGGCATCCTTGTCGAGTATCAGGGTAATGACGAATATGAGGACCTTGTTTTCACAGCGCTCGTAAGAGTTCTCGGCATAGTCCATGACCGTCGGTTCAATTTAGGGCCGTTGGTTGACCACTATGCGGAAAACAAGTTCAACTACCCTTTCGCAACGCCTTGCCTTGTTAGGTCATTCACGAGGCTTCTGACCAAGCCGACAGAGTCAGAAACTGCGCGCAAGCTGCGAGCCACCCTCAAAGTTGTGCGCCACATCCTCAAATTCATCACACATGCCCGGGGTCAACAGAAGGTTAAGGAGGCGGATATTGGAATTACGGGCAGTACTGCTGGCTTCACGCGGCATCTCCAGAGCATCTTCAAGGCTCTCGACTCGATGATGCGGAGTACTGCGCCAGTCCTAGTCGGAAGCCAGACTTTGGCAGTACAGCATTTCCACACATGGCTGCCCGAGCTCACCGGACTCCTGACGACCGAGGAAATCCTACATATAGCCATCGACTTCATGGACTCGTGTGCCCTAGTCAAAGGCAAGCTGGTCCTGTACAAACTTGTGCTAATCATCAATTATTCTAAATTGGACCTTTTTTCTGGCCCTGAGCAGAGGTCTGCTCTGAGTGCCAATACTGTGAGATGGATAGCACCGCATTGGGGTCGAACAGACAATGTCACAGAACAATGGAAGGAGCAGGTTCGCCTGTGCTGCTCGGTGCTCGCTAGCCAGGCCGACCGCCTTAATTCAGAGATCCCTGACTATATTCCGAAGATCATCGGCTCGTACTTGTCAATCCAGGCCACCGAGCTGAAGCCCAAGACCCGGTTTTCGCTACTCTTTCCTACGACCTACCCGTTTCCTACCAAGTCGATCCCTGGTGAGCCTGTCCAATTTGACGAAGCTTTGGTTGAGTTATCCGCCATCCTTTCCACGCTCTCGAACTCACCGAGTGGCATGCAGCTCGAGTTGGCTTCGGAAGACCTTACCACTCTCCTCAAAAACACCCTCCACGTACATATGAGCATCTTACGAGGCGAAGCTTTCCCGTCGAGTTGGCTCAGTGTGTACATATACCACCACAAGTCCACAATGAGAGGGTTACAGTATCTTGCCAGCATCCTCTTAGAATCCTTTTTACCCGATCCCGATGAGGCGGAGGACTTCGACACGGATCTCTGGCGACTATTCTTCAGCACGCTCCTCAGGCTTGTGGGTAGTGGACATCTAGCACTAGAAACGTTTTCGGAGCAGAAACGAAGGGCAGTTTGGAAGATTGCTGGCGACGTAAGGGAGCATGGTGCTGAGTTATTGAGGCAAACATGGGGAGCAATAGGCTGGGAGACGAGCTCCGATGAAAGGAAACGGTTTGGGCTGGCGAAAATGGGCGGTTACCAGGTCCAGTACGTGCCTACTCTCGTTGGCCCCATAGTCGAGCTTTGCTTGAGCGTCCACGAAGGTCTAAGGAGGATGGCTGTCGAAGTCCTCCAAACAATGATCGTTAGTGAATGGACATTGAGCGAGGACTTGTCCGTCATTCAGACTGAGATGATCGACTGTCTCGATGGGTTCTTTAAGGATCAGACTATGACAGAGAGCATCTTGCAGAAGCTTTTCATCAACGAGCTTCTGGAACGGTTCGATAAGCTCTCACTGATCGAGGGTGATTCCTTGCACGCTGCGCTGAAGGGGTTGATTGGAACCGTTGCCGAATTCCTGGATCTCCTTGTCGCCGTCCACAGCGGAGACGTCACTAGCGAGGCGTCCCATCTCATCAACCGTTTGCAGCTCATGGAGTTTCTTAGAGACATGCAGAAGGAGGAGATCTTTATTCGATATGTTCACCAGCTGGCAACATTGCAATTTGAAGCTAGGAACCATACCGAAGCGGGACTGGCTCTTCGCCTTCATGCCGAGTTGTACGATTGGGATCCCACAAAACCGACTCCCGCTCTTCAAGATCCTGACCTCCCGGAACAGTCTCACTTTGATCGCAAGGAGCGTATTTATTTTGACATGATCAAGCACTTTGAAGACGGTGAGGCCTGGGGCAGCGCCCTTACCGCTTACAAGGAGTTACAGGCCCAATACGAAAGCAATATTTTCGACTTCGCCAAGCTCGCGAGAACTGAAAGAGCCATTGCAACTATCTACGAGAAATTGGCGAAGGGAGATAAGCTTGTCCCCAAGTACTTCAAGGTCGTTTATAAAGGCCTTGGCTTCCCAATGAGCCTACGCGACAAGGCCTTCGTATACGAGGGCTCGCCGACTGAGCGCACCTCAGCTTTCACAGACCGTATGCAAGAGCAATACCCAACTGCCCAGATCCTCACGTCAAGCGATGTAGATAGCGAAGTCGAGGGCCAATATCTCGTTGTATCAGCACTAAGCCCGCATCGCGATCTCGGCCACCAGGTGTTTCAGCGAGCTCGAGTCCCGCAGCCAATTCGGGATTACCTTCTTTCAGCTAACGCCCGCATGTTTTCCGTATCCTCTAAACGCTGTACTACGGGTCCTGTCGACACTCACTATGCGGAAAAGACTGTCTACACCACAGCCGAGCCATTTCCTACAATTCTGCGCCGGAGTGAGATCGTGGAGGTGCATACCGTGCGATTGGGCGCCAAGGAGACAGCCCTTGAGCGCATTGTCCGAAAGACACAAGAAATGACCACGGTTGAGAAGAGACTAGGTGAAGATGACGACGAGGAGATAACACAATTGATGGTCGACGCTATCGCGATCTCCGTCAATCCCGTCTCGGAGAGCAGCGTGGCGTGCTACCGTCAACTCCTTCCAGCTCCCAAATCTGAGGAGGATGAAGAGGTAGAATTGGACCAACAAGATAATGCGATTAAGATGGCGCTTGTCGACCACGCAATTATGATTAAGAGATGCCTGGCAAACTTTTCTCGTAGTACAAACCCAATCCTCTTGAAGGGATACGAGGATTCATATAAACGTGAGTACTCTCTGCGACCCCGTCTGGCTTGGCTAACATCAGCCAGATTTCTTATCCACATTCGCCCCCGAAATCGCGTTTTTTTCACCCGCCCAACCGCAACCTGATAATCTTTCAGCCACACCATCGCCGACTTGGTATCGTTCGTCTCCTACGGTAGACAACCCGTCTCCGAACGCTAAGGCCGCTACTTCAGCTGCGAACGCGAACGGAATGGTGGAAGAAGCATCGGCAGCGCAACCAATCTCAATGAAGCAGCGTGGGACACGACTTAGCTTTCTAGGCGGCAAGAGGAAGGATTATCAGCATTCGAATGGTGACACGTTCAGCCCGAAGCAAGTCAAAGGTGACGGCGACTCAAACAGTCAACAAAACAAAGCCAAGGATAATCCAAATCGAATGAGCATATTCCGTAAGCAGTCGAGCGACAGCAATACCAACTCAAATCCGCACCCCCAGATCTACCAAAACGGTATCATAGACCTGGCCATGCCTGATTGGGGGATCGATCGACCGCGGAAGAGCAAGGAAGTGGTTGACGTTCTTGAGAGAGATCTCGATAAGGCCAATGACGGGGGGGTAGGCTTCGGGTCAGTCAAGAAAAGACTGAGCATGCTGAAATTAGGGAAAAAGCCGAGTAAGCCAAATGGCTTCTTCATGGCTGGAGTGAATGAAGAATAGCATCATGCCACCCTTGAGAAGGGACACGCAATGGATCTATTCCCCAAGACGGTTCCTAAATTGGCGGAATAGCTTGGTGAGAAGCCTCGATGGACAAGCCCGTGTTCTGGATTATCATGCATGAGCCAAAAAAAAAAGGGTTACGGAAGGCTCTATTGTCAATGCCACCCATACAGCGTCAGGGTTTCCATTGGGCTGTATATTCTTTTTCTCCTCTTGGCTTGCGGGCATGTTTGTAGAGCTGTATATACATTACGCCGGTGAAAGGGGGTCGGCTCGGACCGCCGATGAGGATTGTGCTGCACCCGAGATACTACCTACCTGAACTGGCTCACTTATCCCAGAGCCATAAATTCACTTGTTAGCATTTTACTTCTACTTTTATACGGGGTAAACAGATAGGGCAGTCCGGTCCGACATAATTCGCTTATGAAGGTGCAGTTGTCCAGGAGTGGTGGCTTATTCAGGATAAGGACAGCACCCGCTATTAATCTAAATGTGAAAGGACAATTGAGTATTATTTAGGGGACGGGAAATTTTATTTTTAGTTACCTACTACCTAGGTGTCTAGTGGGTGTTATTTTTGACATGATCCATCACGGGAACACTTCAACTGCGGAAACGGACAACCATACCGCGATGTGAATCTGGACATCTTTTAAGTCTCAGTACATTCAACCTACCTAGATGTCCCCCCCCCCCTCCTTACCATGTACATGTCACGTAGGGATCAGCCCTTATACGCCTACATACGCAAGTTGTAGAATGTAGGCGTCTACGACGCGACAGGATAATTGTTATTATTAGAAAGAAGCGGAGTACTTCCACAGTCTCCTTTCGTGCTTTATGTGGTTGTTTCTGGATGTCCACCCTTCCCTTTTCATTGCAGCCTAACATGAACGTTTCTCACTAGCGAGCAACCGCGAAGGGTCAGTCCGATACCTCCGTCTAAAATATTTACATGGGCTAGAATCCTATGGCTATCAGGTACCGCCAGGGACTCCGTTTCATCCGGGGTATCCTACCACACTACAGGCTAATACCAGCCTCCTGGGTACTTCAGCCTGTTTACTAAAAGTACGATGTAACCCGCACATACATACGCCCGCGTATATAGGTAGCCAATTGATCGACAGCATAATACTGCGTTCTATCAGTGAAATTCTCGGTCAGCGGCAAAGTAGGTGGTTGACCCCAAGCTCAGCGATCGAAGACTTGCCTAACGAATAAGAGCTTTGAGATGGCCATCTCCCGGCTTGGCAAAGACTCGATACCGATCTCATCATCGTACAGGATATGTGGTAAGAAGGAACCCTACAGCGATCTTCTTAGCCTGCACTTTGCTGGCCCCGATCCTTTTACAAGGGGTTCTTTCTGCAGCTTCGGTTTCCTTTCCCTCTCGTTTTATCATCTAAGATCTCCGCTGTTCTTTTTCTCCTCCCCCTCCAAACATACCCTTGATTTCAACACACTTAATCGATCCTGGTCCCATCCACTTCTAAGCTACATAATTGGACGCGTTCAAATATTTGCCTACACGTTAACCACAAGTGAGAGGGCTTCGAGAAAAGAGTCCAAGGAATTTGATCCAATATGCCCGCGAGACCACACGTGGCGTGCAGATAGTACCTAGGTATTGCTCGCAATGGTGCGAACAATATCAAATCGACTGCTTCCGCTCGCTGTTCGTTACATCTCTGTACTATTCACCGCCGTACTGGTTTACTACGTCATCCGCGAGCCAGTTTCCATAGCTATCCGAGGTATCCCATTCCCACAGAAATCAGAATCCAGTACATCCAGTGACCAGGATGGGCGTATCGACGCCGGCGAGAGCGCCAAGCTCGGAGGGCCATTGGTAAATTCGGCTACCGTTGTTCTAGACCTCCACAACGAGGACACCCAAGGACCCAGGAGGGAACCGGACGAGAAAGTTAAATATGTTAAGAAATACAAACCGGACTCCCCCCCACCCTCTCCTATCGAGGATCACTTTCCACTGCTAACACACTCTACTATACTCCCATCGGTCTTGGAGAATAACCTGCCGCCTAATCCGCACGTAGAAGAAGCCACGCCGTTGCTAATAGGCTTCACAAGGAATTGGCCGCTGCTGCTACAGTGCGTGAGTAGCTATATTGCAGCTGGGTGGCCGCCGCAGGATATATATGTGGTGGAGAACACTGGTGTATTCCGCGCGAACCGGCGAGGAGAGCTGGGGTTGCAGAACCCGTTCTTCCTGAACCATACAGCTCTGGGGATTCTGGGGATCAATGTGATCACAGCACCGACACTGCTCAGCTTTTCGCAGCTGCAGAACTTTTACTTGCACACGGCGCTGGAACGCGACTGGCCTTTCTTCTTCTGGAGCCATCAGGATGTACTCGTCCTCAGCGACGAGGACGTGAAGAAGAACGATCGAGACCACGACTGGGATCACGATCCGTACGCCACCATATACGAGCGCTGTGTCGGCCTCCTGCGCTACCTTAATGGTCCTGATATGGCCCCATGGGCCACCCACTTTTTTGCCTTCGACCACCTCACCCTCGTCAACCGCGACGCCTACCTCGAGGTCGGCGCCTGGGACACCCATATTCCCTACTACGCCTCCGACTGTGATATGTATCTTCGCCTGCACTGGGCAGGATACTGGCAACCGCAAAGCAAAGCCGGCCTTGTTTTTGATGTAAACACTGTTCTCGACGATATCGCATCTCTGTTCCGCGTTCCTGGCGCGCGCGCCACTTTTCAGGAGGATCCGATCTATGCAGGCAATCATCACAGCGGTGACGATGACAACATCGGTTTGGAATCTCCCCACCACGAGGCCGAGCTGAAACGCGAGGAGGAGATGTGGTCGTGGGTGGACAAGGAAGGGGAAACGTTTGCGCACCTCGTGGAGGTGGCAACGCGCATGCAGGAATTCAAGTTAGCGGACGAGGGCGTGAGACGAAATACATGGCACGGGAGGCAGGCGGGTGGGATGGACGATCCATTCTACCGTGACGCCGACGGATTTGCTAGAGGGCTCGAAATGCTCATCGATGTCGGGCGGCGCGTTTTTGCGGACAAGTGGGGGCACCGAGGGTGCGATTTACTCAAGCTGGGTATTGAAGGCCGCGACGCATGGCGTCTGGAACGCGATTGGGATATTGAAATCGAAGGACCTGGTAGTGTTGGAGGAAGCTGGGGAGAAGACTGGATGATGGACAACGATGGACGGTCGACAATCAATTAGAGGCGGCGGGGATGTGTGGCGCTCTTGTGAATGAAAGCACCTACGGGCAATATCCATACAGCACTTTAGGAGCGGTATCGGGATTTAAACGAGGAATGAGACCATATAAAACTATGTAACCTTGTAGTTCATGCGTGTATTAATGACTGCGATACCCATCAATCTTATTTATAAGTACTCTAGATCTCTAGATCTGATGAGAGTTCGCACCTAACGAAACCACCAAGTTCTTGGCCTATGTGGCGTATTATTATAGGTAGCTATGTGAGGCTATAGTACCAAATAGGGAGGTGAAAATGCTGCGGATTTCGAAGATGGAAAATCCATTGTGTTTCTACACCTATACCTCGGGTTGTGGGTCCTCAGTTGGGTTGTAGCAAATGTATGAAGCTCAGTCTAGGCTTCAACCTTAGTTCCTAGGTTATCGCCTCCGAACCCTGAATAATGACGTACTTCGCTACCTGTAGTTGTGGTATCGAGGAGCTACATGTATCGACTTATATAACTGACTGGGGGAATGCAAGTGGTTACGTTTTCTCGTAATAATGTGTAAACTCCAACAGTACGGCTGTTGGTATTATCGTCGCGTAATCTGATATATTTGTACGGGCTACAGAATCTTTAATGCATTATGGGCTAAATACTCAGCGGGAGATCCTTTGATGGTGGGAGTTACGGAGTATTGAAGTTGTTAAGTTTTAGGAATACTGGGCCTCTTTGATTTTCTTAATGGTTAGCTGTAGTGAAGACAACCTAGGAAGGACTAGAGAATCAAAACAGCTTATTATTTCTAGAAGAATCCTTTCCGATACTGGTTTCGCATGATAATGTTGGTCATCATAACTAAAGAGCGCGCCCGGACGCTGTATTGAGACGTTTGTTAATCGTTATCTGTTCTTTGTGAAGGATTGAGCTAGCCTCGCCGTGCTACGAGACGGAAAAGGCGAGCTATTGCTAGAAATCTGATAACATTGGCGCTCCAATGGAATGAAGTTGAGTGGATGCTTGAGCTATGGGTGCTGCGTTGGTGGCTATGGTGGCTATGTAGCACCGAGCTATTCGTGTTTCCAACTACGGCCCCGCCACTCTGATTCAGGGTTCTAGCGCGAGACGAACGAAAAATTCCGAGCTTGACTAGATATATTGACTTTCACTTTTGGATAAGCACACGATGGAAGCTGAATCCTGACTGGGCGGGACCGCCTGGATGGTCGGGAGTCGGTAAGCGAGTATCCATAGCGCTTACTATACCGTCGATGTTTTCGTGATGACACCTAGCAACAGTAGTGTGGTGACGGTAGTATTATCAGCGTGAAGGCACTCTTGAGTGGAGTGCGAACCCTGCGGGATGTAGTAAAGGAGGACAGTCTTGGCCCGCAGCTTTGTAGGGGCCGCTTGATCGTCGGGTCGCAGTTCTCGTTATCTTTCGGCTTGTGAACGAAGGTGGGGGTTTAGAGTTGGGAAAGCAGCGACCGATATTCTGGATGTCTTCGAACGGCAGCTGATGCTATTGAGGCTGGGCTGAAGAAGAATGGCGTTACATGTGGAGGCGTTCAAAACGCATCTGTGGTGACGCCTGAGGCGAACCTGTGAGTGCATGCCATGCGAAGGCAAGATGGTTGGAGGGGCTAATCAATCAACCACTCGGGATTTCTCGTCGCGAGTACGTGTTATCGTCCTCGGACGATGTTCAAAAGCCGAGGTCGTGAATCGGGATATTTCCACCTGCGTCGCCAAGGGGATGCAATACCGCCGGGATCTCCACCCAGCCAAGGATGGGTATGCTAGGTGTGTGTCAACTTCAATGTGAAGGTCTCGGGAGTCAAGACCCTTAGAACGTTGTAGACAAGGGTCGGCGATGACACGACATTCTGACCCGATCGATAGGGCGTCCCGAATATCTGCACCGGTAAGCCCGATCAGATATTACCCCGATTGCTGATTTGAGGATTGCCGGCCGGTCTTTATGTATCCGAGAATTTTTTGAGGGACCGTAGAGAAGGGATAAGGCACCAAACGTGAGATGGCTTCAGCCACCTCATTACTGCTGTTTGTAACGATTGGTAGAAATACAGCGATGCATTCTTAAATGACCAAGATTAATTGCGATGTACCGAAAGAGTTGTACCCACTGCACTGGGATGTTGGCATAGTAAGACTCTGTTGCTAAGCCCCCCACTTCCTAGGTAAGATGGCCTGGATCTCGTAACTCACCAGTAACGGGCAGCTCTCCCGACCAGGCTGCCGCCTCGGCTAGTGTCTGGATTTCCCGTTCTGGTTCAGTGCCGAAATAATGCAATCCGGACATCTTTGACGTGCCGCCGAACGAAGAGGTCGGGTCTTGGAAATGGACGAGATAATGCATGATGAAAATTTCGCAGTCAAGCTTTGACGGGAGCTGTAGGTATATGTAGTAAGTAAGTGATCGTAGAGGAGGTGCATCTCTTAGTAGTAGACGTGCAAGTGTGGTTCTGCTCAGACAACCGGCTTATGCTGACCAATGAGATAGAGACTCGTAATAACCTGGCAGTGAAACACAATACGACCTGCCGAAGTCGTCTCTCAGCCTCATCAATCTAAGTGTCGGTCGAAGCACCTGTGACTGTGTCAACTTGTAACCTTGTCCTTGGACATTACGCATGCGGTGGTCACTTCTCGTTAGATAGCATGTGCCTGTCACTACAGCAAAACTGAACTGCTCAAGGGCAGGTATAATACGGCTATACATCAATCCTCACACCCTCAAAGTGTGACTTTCGGGTATGTATACATGCCACCCATAGGGTTTCCGGTTGGTCACTACCCGACCTGCTCCTGGCACCAATGGATGTCGGTGATATCTTGATATGTTTCGACATTGTAGTAAGTTAGTCGCATACTCATACACCACTTCAGCATCCTCGCTTGTTCCGGATACGATAGGTGGATACCAAACGTAGCTTATGCGGGGCCGGGTTGGTTGTCCTAGTAAACTACCACGCAGCTTAACACCCGGGTCTTTACAATGTGCCGATATGGCGTGCAGAGATGCTGTGTCATGGTCGCCTGTCCCTGAATCTAGGGGCTTTCATCCCTACAGAGGCGGCTATAGCAGACTCCCCACGCACCCCTTATCCCGAATGATGGCATTCGCAGCTCTACAATGCGCTATTGTGCGCGATGCTAGGTCAGACTAGAGCCAGTGCTCGCTGGGATCGACATCGGCAACTTCCATATCTAGCAGTTCCCAAAGCAAACAGGAAAGATGGCTTGATCCATGGGCTCGCATATGTCGGACAATGGCGCATACTAAACCAATTTGGGCTTGCCGTGTAAGATCCAGTTTACGACCCTTTGAGATTTTGTGGATGTGGTATCGTTCGATGGTATGATAGTGGGTGGTGCTGGAGCTGGGGGCTTATTTGCCCTCATCTATCGGAGACCAGGTAGAGTATCTTGAGTCACTATCCAGTACTTAATCCCTCGCACCTCTCTCTCTCTACTCGTCTATTTCTCCCCTACTTGCCATGTCAATAACTACCCCATCAACGACAAATCGCAAGACTAATAGAGAACCTCCCATATTCTCTACTATGGCCATTGATCGCTCTGAAAAGGGACGGGCAACCGGCCCCCAAGCCCAGGGTGTGGACCTAGCACCAATGCCGATTGTCGCGACCGGGCCATCTACGGGGACAACGACTCCGTCGATAAACTCTGGCAAAGGCGTTGAGGAGAAGGTTGAGCGTGTACCGGAGCGGGCAGTTCTTCCCAACCAACTTGGCACGGAGCTCAGTCGACAAGTCCGATGTGAGTATTCTCCCTTGCTTCAGGCGCGAGGTTGGAAAGGTGGCCAGGCTAACACGTAGCAGATAAATATGCCTCATCCTATCGAAAAATATTCGGAGTTATCTTCACTATTAACTGTGCTGTCTTCATCTCCTTAATGGTGAATGCAAATGGGAACCCCAACTCGCGGGAGGTTGGTAACGCTGCTTCCGCAAATCTGATGGTCTCTATCCTATTCCGCCAGGAGGAATTTGTCAACTTATGCTACGAGATCTTCACTTGCGTCCCCCACTCGTTGCCCCTGTACATCCGAAAACGTCTGGCCAAAGTCTTCCATTATGGTGGTTGCCATAGTGGTGCCGGTACTGCTGCCGTGGTGTGGTATATCCTGTATACGGTGCTAGCGACGAAGGAATGGATCGACGAACCCCTTACTGATGTGCTCGTCAACATGGTCACTAGCTGGGTGTTGGTCTCGATGTTCCTCATTATCTTAACATCGGCTCACCCTAACCTACGACGGAGATTTCATGACTATTTTGAGGCTTTCCACCGTTTCGCTGGCTGGACTGCTCTGACCACCTTTTGGATTCACAACATCTTCTCGGCGAGAGTCACTGCTAGGCAATGGGACACATCTCTTGGTTACGTGCTTGTCAGCTCGCCGAATTTCTGGTTTATCTGCATCTCGACCTCTTGCACAATAGCCTCCTGGTCCCGCCTGCGCCACCGAACTGTGTACCCAGAAAAGCTAAGCGACCACGCCACTCGTCTGCACTTCAAGTATAGGGGCATGGCTCCCTTCTACGGACTGAAGATTAGTGACAAACCCCTGACAGAGTGGCACGCCTTTGCTACTATCCCCGACACTGACCCGGAGTCCGGAAAGATCAACGGGTTCAGTGTCGTGGTAAGCAACGCAGGCGACTGGACCAAGAAGCAGATCATGAAGCCCCAAGAAAGAAAGTTGTGGGTACGTGGTGCTCCCCTACACGGGCTCCTCTACACATCAAAGCTCTTCAGGCGCATAGTTGTAGTTGCAACTGGTTCAGGCATCGGCCCTTGTCTCTCGCTCCTCTTCGCAGATGTTACGCCCCGTCGCGTGTTTTGGAGCACTCGGGACCCCGTTGCGACGTACGGCCCCGGTGTTGTTGCAGAGGTCACGAGAGCTGATCCCAATGCCGTCATCTGGAACACCCACGAGAGAGGATATCCGGACATTGTTCGAGAGGTCTATCAACTTGTTCACGAATCAGATGCTGAGGCTGTCTTCATCATTTCTAACCCCAAGGTGACGGAGAAAGTTGTCTATGGCATGACTTCGCGTGGGGTTCCCGCGTATGGAGCCATTTTCGACTCGTGATCACTATCGCGTAGATTAACCTACAAGGACGACTTTGAGTGATGATCGCTACGAGTAGGCGGTTCTCTGATATTGGGTGGAAGTATCACTGTTGTAAAGGTTATAAAGCTGGGGTCGGAGGGGCCTTACGACGGAGTTCATGGCGGAATTTTGGTGGAGGGAGCGAGATTGTCGAAGAGATGCCAACCTGAACCTTGGGGCGGATACGGAGCTGACTCTATACTCTCATTTTGAGCCATTCCTTCCCTACTTCTTGTCTCCTTTGGCACTTCAAACTCTACATTGAATAGCAGGGCGTCGCGATTTTATGTTACCGATCCCTGCCCCTTGGCTAGCCATATATTATATGCCAGGTTTACACATCTTAGATTAGACTTAGATCTCGCCATGCAATGCACCATGGACCGATTCGATATTTCTAATATCGAGAATGTTAATAGGTCTACGTTTTCTTGTTTGTTGCATAACTACGTAGGGTTATATAGCTGGCTTTTCGACATGACACATGGAGGGGGACTCGCCCCTGTGACAAGTACCTATGAGAGAGTAATACTGAGTACCCGCCAGGCTGTAAAATATTAACACCCCGCGACCCACAGCTATACGCACCTATGTCATATATACCTGCTTATTAACGTAGTACATAGACTCATTTCGCCAAGTACGCTTCTTTAATGCTGTAACTCGTCTATAGAAACCGATGAAGGGCTCATGGGATAGGACGAGAACACCTTGTGTTATGCCTTTGCCGCGCTTTCAGTTCGGTTCCGACTCTTTGCCCTGAACCTGCATTACTTCTCCCAATTCTGTGCCCAGAGTGGCGTATGGGTCGACGTGAGTTTTGGCAAATTCCCGCGCTGAAACCCTATTCATGAAGAGGATATCAAGCTCCTCATACGTACGATCTTTGACTTCAGGTAGTCGGAAATACGACCAAACAAAGACGCAGAAGGCGGTACCGCCCCAGAAAAACCCCGTTTTACCAAGAAGGTTCCACTCGACGGGATTCATCATATATGCCTGAAGGAACTGCGAGATGATATTAATTATTTGGTAGGACGTGCGTGAAAGAACGACAGACAGGGGTCGTAGGCGGACCGATGATGTCTCGGAGATGATACTGTACTATCGGATAAATAAGCACACGATATTCATTTTCTAGAACGCTCGGATCAACCACACTATTTGTACTCACGGCTAATGGCCCAATCGTGAGGGAGTAGATGAATAACCAGAGGACGCAAAGACCTCCCGAAGGCCAGAGGCTTCGTTTCCCCGCGGAAACATCCAAGATACCGATGAGGATCAGAACGACACTCAGCGAGCCTATCCCTCCGATGTATAGGGGGCGTCGTCCCCAGTACGAAATAAGCCACCAGGATCTAGTACGGCGAGTAAGAAACGTGTCGCTCTTTGAGAAGGGGATGGGATTTGGGTGCAACTCACAAAACCGTTCCGATAAACGCGATCCCCTTCGCGCCCAGGCTAAGGTTGAAGGCTTGTGTGGGAGGCATGCCAGCAGTGGTAAAGAAGTAGGTTGGTGTGTAAGCGAAGCTGCTTCCAGAAAGAATTTGACCCATGAATGCGACGCAGACAATCTCAGTGCGTCGTAGGTTATCACCCTTAAAGCAATCTAAATATGTAGCGCCTCGGGTCACTTCAGCCTCCATTTGGATGGTATGAACCATCATAGCAAGTTGATTATTTATCTGCTCTTCCGTCTTCTCGCCGGCAAGCCTCGCTATGGATCGTTTGGCCTGTTCGAGATTCTCGGAGCGGACTAGCCACCAAGGACTCTCGGGGGCTAAGAAGCAGATAGCCATCAGGGGCACGGGCCATAACTACAAACCGTTAGTTAAAACGTACCCACCTAGGACTATATGAAGAGTAGTGACAGGCTTGTAATGAATCTCAACATACCCACTGGATAGCGAACGGAATACGGTAGCCCATCTCGCCTTGTATACCGAGACATCCGCGTAGGACGCCGGAGGCTATTAGTTGACCCGTGGCCCAACAGAGGTTTACATAAGTGGTCAGGTAACCGCGCAGGTTGGTTGGGCAGACCTCGGATGCGTAAGCAGGCGCCAGTGTTGCAAAGACGCCCCAGGATAGACCACAGAGAATCTGGCCGACAAGTAGGACCGCCGCGCTGGAGGCGAAGAAGACAACAAAGATGAACCCGTTGAGTATTCCAAGTGATACTATCATCGTCCATCGATAGCCGTACCTTGTGGCTATGTAGCCGTTGATTAACCCTCCTGCATCGTAGCCATGTTAGCATGAAATGCCCGAAATTCACGTCGCCTAGGTATCTGTGGAAGCGGTAGAATGGTATTAAACGTGGCAACATACCAACGATCGCACCGACAGTGCTCCCCATATTCAGGGCTGTCTGCCATTCCCCTGTAACTTGCCAGCCGACAGTGTCAAAGTATCGTCCAAATTTCTTCTGAAATTCTGGGTAGGCAAAAAAGTTACCGATGAGAACAGTGTCATACCTAAAGTCGTTGGTAACTGCGGCGGACAGTAGAGGTGGTAATACTTGGTTAACCTACCCTTCCATGATGATTGTCATAGAGATCAAGACAGACCACAAGACAGCCCTCCGGTTCTCACGTAAACCCTGCCAGAGGGTTTGCGCATGTTCATCGTCTGTGGCTTGTTTGGCGTCAACAATAGCATTGTGGCCCAGCTTCTCTTCCAGTTCCCTATCAGCGACCTTCTGCGCGCTGCTAGCCTGAGCGTTTGCTGCCATTCTGAGCCGGTTCAGCGTGATGTATCCTGGAGAGAGCTAGGGGAACAGCGGAGGAGCGAGAAGAAAGTGGGGGAAGTGAATCATTCCTGAGAGTAAGTTTGCACTGAGCTCTCACGATGACACTGGCTTCGACAGAACCGAAGGAGGGGGAGGAACACATATTCAAATATTTTCCCTTGCCAGTTGTCATACCAGACGGCCGACTCGGTTATTACCGTCCCACCATCGCGTCAATGGAGACCGACCAACGGTGATTGGTGGATCTGGGGTAAAGATGTAGCTTGCATTTGGGGAAATCCGGGGAACTAGTCAGATCCCGGAAGGCCAACCCAGTCTCCACGGCTTCACGTGGAGAAGTCTTATGCAGATGAGACCCAACTTAACCCCTTGACAAATGACCCGTTTCTTTGTTCTAATCCCACCATTCAAATACCTGGTTTATTACCTAACTAGAAAGCCCGTAGCCTGGCTCATCGGGCGTATGTGAACCATATGTTGGGAGTGGCTTCGAATAATCCTATTTAGGTATGCCCTCGTGTTGTCTCGCTAACTACAAAACCGAACGAGTTGCCCCGCGGCTTCTAAATCCATGGACGTCGAATAGTAGCGTCGTATAATTATTAACCTTCAGTGGGCAGTGACCATCTTTGGAACGCTTTAGTCCTGCCACAGATAGTGCTATTCTGATTAAGCATATAAGAGCTAGCAAAAAGGGTTTGCAGTAGGGAATAGGGTCAAGTCGACATATGCAATATGCGGGACATGGCACCGGATAGACGGCCCGAGAGTAGCGAATACCGAAATGTGTGGGCAGGCAGGGTTACTAACCATTTAATTGCGAATCGTCTTCCAGAGACGAGTAAATTGAGAGTATGCTGACAAGGCGGGGCAATCCTCCGAATATATCACATGTATGGAATCCCAATTCCGATGTGTCGCTTAAGAAGCTTTTGTACTGTTAAATCAGAAAGGCGTGGGCGAGACGCTTCGCTGACAGTATCCTGCGACGCGAGTCGGTGGAGAGGTCTAATGAAGAGGAGAAACTCGTCCTGTCCAGCGAATACATACTGGTATGAGCTAGCCTGGGAACGCCAGCCAAGAATCTACCGTCTCTTCCCACCCAGCATACTGGGAGCTGCGAGATTTATATGGTACACAATTGACTATAACAAATAAACAGGGAAACCCGTTGCACATTCGCCTCTGTTTATCATCATCGTCCCAAGAGTAGAGCCACGGTCAGGGTTGGTTAGGCGCCTAGTAATTTCCGAAAACACGGACTTGTATTAACCCTTTTCCCCCTTTCACATTACCTAGTCACATTTTCACACAACGAACATTAACACCCCGTCCGCCGACCCACTAAGTATTCTATCTTCACGACTGGAAAGAAAGCTTTTGCGCATATACTCATATGTCTGAAGCTTGCTACGTAAGAGGTTTAAACATTCGCAGCTCATGTGCCTAGCAGCAGATCTTAGGGGTTCCCTTCTTAAAAAGCCGTGATGCGTATGTACAAAGCAACGAAGGTAGCGCTTGGGTGATGAGCGCGGTTGAAGAAGGCCAGGAACAGCGGGAATGGGGTCTGGCATAAAACAGGACGCTCCAGGTATTACCACCTTGGATGGAGAAGACGATCCTTAGAATAAGCCACTGTTTGAATTGCTTCTGGCAAGGTGAATCATGGAATGTTAACATTCAGGTTCTTGGCGCTCAACCCCAACGCCTCTGCTGGCTGATGTTTCACGGTCCTACGCGGCTGCACCTTACAGAATATTACCTTCTCCCTCAGCACTGGAAGTCTGTGGCAGGCCGTTCTCAGGTGGAAATGTGACGGCGTGATATTCAGGTTAGGGAGACTTTGTTGGAGAAGAAATCTTGGGAAACTGACAAGAATGCTGCAGGAAAATTCAGATGCTCACACTTCACATTTGGAGTAACGCGACAAACGAGGACGACGACCCCGAAGGCGGAAATACCTGCCGCTAGAGGAGCTTGGAGGAGATGCTATTATTACTGGGCAGATTGATTACGAGATCATCCTGATGGCAGCGGTTCTTGACGCTATCGCTGATGGGAAAGATGAAGATGATTCGCAGGATCTCCCATATTGGATTACCTGGATGGCGACAACATGCCCGTCATATCGCCAAATCCTGTAGGCGATTGCGGCATCTGGTATGGAGAAAACCACCACTAGGAGAGTGATGGTGCGATGAACCCGATTTATCGCGTCAACTAGAGTCCGTTTTACTGGATCCACAAATCTCCTGCGGTCCGGGTTTTGGCGATGCATTTTGGCATTGGAAACCGTTGTTGCACAATCGCGACAACCCGACGCCCTCCCCGTTCCCCTTTCTATATTATATCACAAGAGCCGACCATCGCACCAGATGCCTTTCCAACGGCCCACACGTTCTCTTGCCCTCGATCCGCTATCAATCACCCACATCTGTCGGCGGCGTCTCTGGTCGCCACCTCGCTGTTGTCAAAGCCGCATACCGACACCGAACGCCGCGCGTCCTGTAGGTCATGTTTGGGCATTGAAGGGCACGACAGCAGCGCCAATAAGAACCCGAATGACTCTTTAAAGCCTTCCGTCGAAGCGCCTATCTATCTATCAGCCTGAACACCGCGCCCCTCGACCGGGACGACGAACCGTTGCGTCACCCAAAGGCCTAACTTGATGGCTAGCGACCAGCGCTTCCTACTATTTCCGCGACTACCTACAGAGATCAGACGTCTGATTTGGATCCACGCTCTGCCCAAGGGTCGTATCCAGCTCTTCGCGCAGAACGTCCCGTGGGAGAATTGGCGTCTGCTTCCCCCGGTACTCGCCCATGTGTCTCGAGAATCTCGAGAGGTTGTGTTGAGTCACTCAATCGTGCGTGGATTTCAAACCACTGACGATATTCACACCACGACTTGGTTCATTGGCTCTCGGGATATCCTGGAGCTCCACAGCGGCTACCCGTACCCTTTGTCAAATCCAGACCCCTTTTTTTCGGCCGCCGAAAGAGTTGCAATCAATGTGGGAGACTTGGAGGGCGAAATTCGGGTCTTCATCAGAGACCTCGTCGAGAGACAACGTTTTGTTCGCGTGAAGATGGTCTATCTTCTGATCGCCCAAATCGAGACAGCGTACTGGCCTAAGTTTAGACCTGGCTTGACCGAACAGGACAAAGGCAAAGGGACCATCCTCGATCTATACAGCGACGAAGACCAGAAGAAGATCGAAGATTACAAGACCTGGGCTCGCTCTCAGGAGATGTCACCTGTTTTCCCCTGGAGTGAAGACGTACAATTGATTCTCACATCGGGCTTGGACAGCGTCATACTGAAGGAGATATACGATTACTACCAAAGGCAACCAGAAACCAGGCGCAGCGAAGAAGACGACGCGCTTCCATTCCACACCGCTAACACCCCTCTTGGGCCTGACCATCCATGGGTTATCCAGCAACGGAACCTACTGCCAGAATTCCACCCGGCAATACTGATCCTTGGGTGGCGATGAAGGAGGAATTATACATGAGGTTAGCCAGTAAAGAAAGACCACGATGTCCGTAGGTGGCCGGTAAGAGAAGGTGGCTTTTATTATCCGGTACTTTTGGCTGGTCATCACAGACGCACTCCGAAGATAACTACTGCCCCCCAGTCTCCCCGCATATGCTCCCGACCGACCACGGCCTATAGAAAATGAATAGGTGATCTAGCAAATTGATGGCCTTCACGAAATCACTCTATTTACTAGTTGGGACCTCGGTGGCGTAGACTCTGGCTAGGGTATTCACGAATATACCTACGTCGTCCTGGAGGAGTAAGCAGGTCCGCACGAGTAACTGTGGCATTACTTCAGTGGAGCAGAGGGCTAGGTTGGTGTATCTTATCTTGGATTCTATCAGCTGGTGTAAGTAATACGTAAGTTGCAAGAAAAGTCGCCGCCGAATATGCACCACCATGCTGTTACTTCAGGCAGAGTCCTGAATTTTGGGAGTCTTCAATGTGGGGTTTCTACTAAGGCGGGAAGACTACGCCTCGGTTTTGGGCAGATAGAAGAAGGCTAGCGAGAAGTACTAATCTCTTTAATGAAGTCATGTCGGTCATGTGACAACTTCGAAAAAGTCGTCAATGACTTCTGGTTTTTGCTTCGGCAGCGCAAGACTGTTCAACCGTACCGCAGTGCCCAAACTCCGCTTATATATTCGGAAGCTTTGGCCTGATATTGAAACAATCGGCACCGGAGATTTACAACCGTTTCCCTCTACTTACGACTTCCTACAACGTAAGGTAGCGTCGGTGTTTAAAAGCTGAGTAATGGCCACTTTTTTTGGGGTACCCAACTAGGTTTAGCCAAGACTAGCAGTGGCCACCACGTGTCATTCATACTCCCCGGAGTATTACGTAACTGTACAGATTGCATGATGTCCAGTTATCTGTGATCCCCTTTTATCCCGTCCGTCTTCCACCTCTCAAGCCTCCCTCCATCGAAATACCCCCTCCCCTTACCTACATCACTGGGGGAAGATCCATCTCGAACACTGACGATGGATCCTGAGCAGCGCTTTGCAGGCTATCCGCTACCTAGGGAGGGTCCCAACACGCCGTACTCACCTATCCGGAATAAAAACCCGGTACTTCGAGGATGGTCTCTAATCATCGCAGCGAAGCTGTAAATAGCATTCTTTCTTCCTTCGCATGTTACCAGTTGCTAACATCTTGAGTAGGGTTACGAATTCTTCTTTCTTTGCAAATGCGACTTGGGAAAATGCAAAATTCGGCCAGGCTAAAAACATCCCGAGCCTGAACGGTTACAACTGGAGACTTGATGTACGCATCGAATGGCCGGCCCCATCAGTGATATGGTGATTGACCGAATTAATAGCCCATGGTCAAACCGCTCATACCGGATGGCACCGTTCAGGGCAAGGCCGAGGTAACCCCCGACCTGATGCGACGACAGCCTGATGACCTACCCGGCCGTTTCTGCTCGGTAGCTGATTACCACGAGCGTTTCAAATCTGGGGAGTTAACACCCCTTCAAGTCGTCAAGGCCTTGTTGCCTCTGATATCCAGAGGGCAGACGCCTAGGGCAAAATATGAGTCGGCCTGGGCAGTTACAAAAGAGGACCTGGTCGTTGCGGCGGCCCGAAAGTCGACAGAGCGTTACGCCTCCGGTCTACACTTGGGCGTGCTTGACGGTGTGCCTATAGGAGTGAAGGACGACATAGATGTCGAAGGATACGTTTGTCATTTTGGACAACCTTTCGACCCCCATGACCCCTCATTCAAACCCGCGACGGAGACAGTTTGGCCGATCGCACAACTGGAAGCAGCAGGTGCTATTGTTATAGGGAAATTAGCAATGCACGAGCTTGGATCAGACGTCAGTGGATGTAACCCGCACTGGGGGACTCCGGTAAACTGGAACAACCCATCATACTACCCTGGCGGCTCATCGTCTGGCGGAGGTTCTGCCCTGAGTGCCGGCCTTGTCCCTCTTGCCATCGGAACGGACGCAGGCGGTTCTGTCCGTGTTCCTGCGTCCTTCTGTGGCGCTTACGGTTTAAAACCGACCCTCCATCGAACATGTACCATGAAGTCCTCAATCTGTGTCATTGGACCTATGGGGTCTACCGCTAACGACCTCTCTATCGGTTATCGTATCAGTGAGTCTATTCTTATATTTCCCCTCCCAAGAGCTTCACGTCTATCCCTCGGGTGGGTCGTCAAATAATTATTATTCATGAACCGTCGCGCAAATTGCAACGGGTCTTAACAGTGGCGGTGATTAACTTCGACTGATTCTAGTGTCGGCACCCAACCATTCGGACCCAGTTCAAGGCTCATTTTCGTTGTCTATCCCGCCTAATCCGACGGCGAAGAAAATAATCGGCATATACCGGGACTGGTTTGACCAAGCCTCTCCGGAGGTGCTGAACGCTACCCGTGACGCTATATCCTACTTTACAAATCAGTTAGGATATGATGTGGTGGACATAACGATACCATACATACAAGAGGGCCAATACGCACACAGCGCCTGGGCACTTACGGAAGGATTCGACCATCAGCGATCCCGTGTGGCGGATGCGTCAAGATGGGCATCGAATCTGAATTATTGCAACCAACTACTCATGACCATGGGCGCATCCACACCAGGAATTGATTTGATCAAGTACGGGCAGCTGCGCGAGTTGATCATGGAGCATCTTGCATTCTTATTCAAAAAATATCCTGGCCTGCTGATCCTGACCCCGACTTGCCCTGATGCTGGGTGGCCGATCCATCCAGGGGACCAAGCCTACGGATTCAGCGACGGAAATACGACAATCCGGACTATGATGTACATCTGGCTGGCAAATTCGACGGGCTGCCCTGCGGTAACCGCCCCAGTTGGCTATGCTGAGCCGACACAGGGCGAAGGGAAGTTGCCAATTGGGCTGATGGCGATGGGAGAATGGGGCGCGGAAGAACAACTCTTAGTTTGGGCGCATGAGGCCGAGACATATCTAAATGATTACGTGAAGGGAGGTCGGTACAGACCTAAGGATTGGGCCGATGTTATTACCCTGGCGCAAAACGATACTAACTAAAGACATCTGTAATAGGCTGTGCCTAGTAATAGAGCCCTGGTTAGCACCAGAGCTTAGCATGTAATTACCCTCTTCGTACCTATAAAGGTTAATGGAAACCACCTTTTGAGTTAAGTTTAGAGACGTTAGACTTGGTTATTGTTTTTTTTTTTTGAAAATCCCTTTATATAAAAATTTTCCTATATTTGTTTTTTAATTACCTTTTTTAGAAGGTGGACCTAACTTTTTCGGGTCTCTATTAAACAAGAGCAGCGTAGGCACGCTGTAATAGAGGCACGAAACAAGGGCAACTCAACTGCTAACAGCCGGCCTAGTACCGATCAAATTGAATCACAGCTATAAATAGTTATAATCGGTTAATCAGCTAGCTGAAAACGGCAGCTAGGAAAAGACAAGAATAGGAAAGGGGTAATATAGTAGTATGGTAGATCTAGGCTACGTAGCCTTTTAGATGTATATTTATATAGGTCTCGTACTTATATTTTCATTAGTTAAACTTAGACCTATAGCCATTACGATAGCTATCACTAGCTATAGCATTTACTCCTTCTTGCTATGTCTTTTCTCGCTATCTTCGTTGCCTGTCACGGTTTTAAGAGCTGTTCGCTGGGTAAAAGCCGTATGTTGATGAACTAAAGCTAGACGAGGAGAAAAAGGAAGAAAAAAGGTGCGCCGTGTGGGCCGTACTTGCAATAGCTGGCCTTATCCTCCGTGGGTGCTGGTCACGTGCTAAGCCCTAGCACTAGCTAGGGCCCTATAATGGGCATAGCCCATTACATTGCCTTCCTCTTCTAGTTTTTTCCTAACTATCGTTTTTAGCTAGTATAGTAGTACGGTAAGACATGCCTTCTTAATACATTACGTAACACGTTACGATAGGCCTTATGTCTATGTAGAATAACTATAGCTCCCGTAAGTACGAGCTATGCTATGCTTATTATCTAATTTACTACCTAGCTAGATTATTATCTTTACTACTTTTACCTTAATTAAAGATTTATTTTTATTATTAGATTCGTCGTTCTCCGATTAATATATTTATCTTAGTTATAAGCGCTTAAGTTACTTCGTCGTACCGTTATAACCGAATAAGTAACTTTTACGTTTTACTCTTTTTCTCCCCTTACCTCTTATACCTTCGGGCTAGCGATTATTACATTTCTACGACTAAGGGATATAACTAAGATACGATAACTACATTAGATTCCTTATCTCCCGATTAATATAGCGGTATTAGTTTTATTTATCTTAGACTATTGTACGTATTATAGTCTTCGATAGAGTATACTTTCGAATAAACCTATCCGGGTTTCTAGTATCGCGTACGTTCTACTCCTTCTTAATAATAACTACCCTATGACTTTTCGATCCCTTAACCTTTAGTTTTAAGAGTTTTTATTACGCTATTAGGATTTAAAGGATACCGATCGCCGTCGGCGCCGCTATATAACCCGCGAAGTAGTCCGCGTTTTACGTCGAATAAAGTATCCGCCTTATGGTTATTTATTTACTATAAAAAGATACGTATAAGCCCGGGAACTTTTACGATACTACTACCGTTAGAACGCTACTTAGTCCTTAATACTTATAACGTTATTAAGCTATCGATATTACGATTTAATATAACGAGTAGATAACGCTTATAGCGATTAACGCAAACCTTGTATAACCTTTTATCTACTTATGGGAAGGCATCCGTAAGCATAGGAAACTTTCGTCGTAATACTACCGCTACTAGGGATAATACTTAGCCCTCGATACTAACCGCTCCCCGAATTACTAATAGTATAATATATCTCGTACGAATAAATAGAGCTTATAGCAATTAAAGCAGTCCCTTCGTAGTTATTTATTTACTATATAGTATAGTGGTGCGGTAAGACATGCCCTCTTGATGCATTACGTAATACGTTACGATAGGCCTTATACCTATATAGAGTAACCATAGCTCCCGTAAGTACGGGATATGCCATGCTTATTATTTAGTTTATTACCTAGCTAGATTGCTATCTTTATTATTTTTACCTTAATTAAAGATTCGTTTTTACCATTAGATTCGTCGTTCTCCGATTAGTATATCTATTTTAATTATAGGCGCTTAAGTTACTTCGTCGTACCGCTATAGCCGAATAAGTAACTTTTGCGTTTTACCTCTTTTCTTTCCTTACCTCTTATGCCTTCGGGCTAGCGATTATTATATCTTTACGACTAAGGGGCATAGCTAAGATACGATAACTACATTAGATTCCTTACCTTTCGATTAGTATAGCGATATTAGTTTTATCTATCTTAGACTATCGTACGTACTATAGTTTTCGATAGAATATATTTTCGAGTAAACCTATCCGGGTTTTTAGTATCGCGTACGCTTTACTCTTCCTTAGTAGCGATTACCCTATAACTTTTTCGACCCCTTAACCTTTAGTCTACGGAGTTTTTATTACGCTATTGAGATTTAAAGGATACCGATCGCTATCGGCGCCGTTATTTAACCCGCGAGGTAATCCGCGTTTTACGTTAAATAAAGTATCCCGCCTTATGGTTATTTATTTATTATAGGGAGGTACGTATAAGCCCGGGAACTTTTATAACGATATTATTACTACTAGGATAATACCTAACCCTTAATACTTATAACGTTATTAAGCTATCGATATTACGATATAATACGACGATTAAACCGCGTTTATACCGATTGAGATATCCCTCGTATGGTTATTTATTTACTATACGGAGAAACCCGTAAAACCCGGGAGAACTTTCGTCGTAATACTATCGCTACTAGGGATAATACTTAGCCTTCGATATTAACCGCTTCCTCGAACCGCTAATAATAAAGTATATCTCGTGCGAGTAAATAAAGCTTATAGCGATTAGGATAGCCCCCTTATAATTATCTATTTACTATATAAATTAAACGTACGAACGCCTTAGTATAAATTACGATAACCTATACGACCCGCTGCTCCTTTATTAATATTAAGGGCGGATAAAGGCTAATAATAATTATACCTTAACCGACCTTACGATAGCTTCTTTTTCCTTCTAAACTTATTAATCGATATAAATTAAATATATAGATATTAATAACTTATTATACTAGAGGTATTTTAGGATACCTAGGCGTAGCGATTCGACGATATAATATACGATATAATATAGATATTTATATTAATAATATAAATAGAAATTAATAGATTAATAGCTACTAGTAACCGATAGTTTTAAAGAGAACTAGGAATTAATATTAATAAGACTACGTAGATATAAAGGATTAAGGAAACGGAACTAAAGTCGAGCTAATAGGTATATCTATATATAAGTTAGCCCTATATTACTAATTAATAGCTAATATAGCGAGAAATATTAATACAGGCGTAAAACGGCGCCTAGCGGTAATACCGCTAATATTATTAAATAACCTTTATTAAATCGAAACCGGCCTATGGCTATAACCGGTATCGTATCTAGCGCGATTCTTTATTCGGGATCTATCCTTTATACGTATTACCTCAACGAAGGTTATACGTTAGAAGTTCTAGACCTTAATAGAAGGGATTATCGTCGACTTATTTATAATAATTAAATTATTAGTCTAAGGAATACGTATCGTATTCTAGTTAGGCGTTAGCCGATTAGAGAAGCTCGTATAATATCCGGACCCTATCGATCGGGATAATATAATAAATAATAATATACCCATACTAAAGAAAAAGTATAAGGATATAAATAATAGCTATTATACCTTTACCCCTATATTAGATAATAAAACCTTTATTACCTTTCTTTTTACTTTATACCTCGTACCGATAAATTAAACGGAATCCGTAGCTAGGAAACGGAATAAATCGCCGTTAAAACCCGAAGTAATAAAGACTAAATTACTAATAAAAACCTTAAGAGTCGATACTAACTCTCCGCTTTTATATCCGCCCGAAGAAGAGGAGGACGACGATAAAACTCCTATTTAACTACCCTTTACCCGCGATTCTATACTTATTCCGCTAATCCCTATAGCATTATTTTAGAATAATAATAACAGGGCCTCTAGTAATTAGAATATACCGGTAGCTACCCCGATTATCGTAATACTAACCATTAGATTCCCTAACTCTACCGATTACCCTAGGCTTAAGTTTAATAAACATAATATAACTTAATAACTAAAAAGGGTAGATCGATTATTTAACCGCTACCGTATAAACGACGACGATAAGATTAAGGAGATCGGCGAATAAATTATAACTAAGACCATTAAAAAGCGTATTAACGACGTTACGAAGGATTAAACGATCTAAAGAATTATCGTTATAGCCCTAAAGTACCGTTTTAGGATTACCGATAAACTAAATTAAGTTAACGTTAAACGTAAACTCGTATAATTAAAACGAAGTAACGTAATTAACGATCCTAAGGCGATCTTTACGTATCTTATAAATTATAAACGTCTTTCCAAGCTCGTAAACGATAACGGAAAGCTTCCTTAGAAAGTAGGATACCTAACCGATAAACTCCGGATATTTTTAATTATAAAGTTCTATAAGACGGGAAACTACGACTATAATAAGATCGGAAATATCGATTACCGGATTCTTTATACCTAGCTTTATAAGTAGGCGGAACGTCGTATAGTAATATAAATTACCGATAGGACCTAAGCCGAGGAACGACGATAATAAAAGACGGTAACTTTCGAGAAACCCGAGAAGCTTATAATATAAATAGTTTAACGATTAACGACTCTTAGCCTTTAAATGCCTCTACTACCGCCTCCTTCGTAGCCTAGACCCTTTTACGGCTACTTAAGTACTAATTAGGAAGCTAATATATAGGTCCTTTACGACCGACTTAACGCTTTAGAAATAAAGATAACTTCGTAAAACTACCGTTAAAAAAGTAGCTCTTATAGCCCTAAGGATACGTACGGCGCCGATTAATAATATTAATAAGAAAACCCGTTCCTAGTAAACGCGGTTTAAAACCTAAGTCTTTATAACCTA